CATATAGGGACTGTGTATGCTATCGGTGATTTTTGAACAGTTAGAGGTTGTCGTAAGTATGAAAGTGTTATGTTAGTTAGATGGTGACTTAATATAATGTTGTTATTGTATTTGGTCGCACGCTCTATTACCCGTATGAGGCAAGAGATTTGCTAATAAAGATTTTTTGTTATTGGCTGAGTGGGAGTATTGTTTTTAATTGATATAATCTTACATCAATTGGTAACATCCACTTAAATGTGGTGATGTTACAACTCCATCTCCATTAAGTACAGAGTTATAGAAGTGAGGCTTTGAAGTCTTCATTAAATAGTTGCATCATAAGAACTATAAATATGATGCTTTGTGCATCATGAAAAGACACAATACGAGAAGAAAATAAGTTAGAGAAAATACATATCTTTATATAGTGTTTTTTCTTGTTGAGCCAAAACCATCACAAGGCGGCTCGCACTACAAAAAAATAGAGTTCTAGTGAGGAATGTTTTTGTCACTATATCTACGATTGTTGTCACTATGCTGTCACTATATCTACTGTCAGTATATCTACATTTGTTGTCACTATATCTACAATTATTGTCACTATATGTACAATTGTTGTAGATATAGTGACAATAATTGTAGATATAGTGACAGTAGATATAGTGACAACACAGTGACAACAAAATTCTTCACTAAAACTCTATTTTCTTGTAGTGTCGGGTTTAGAGTGTAGAGGATACCGATGACTCTAGTAGTCGTTGGATAAAAGATACGGGCAAATATTCGTTTCCACTACATAATAAAGGTTAGTCCTATATGTATTTATAGATGTGTTACATAAAACCACTAACAGAAAAAAAACCGACAAACGTTGCCGATGAAACACCACATATAAGGTCGAGTTCAATGGCTTTATGTATCTGTTATTCATATTAGTACATATCCATTATATTAAGTGGTTCATAATCCTGACTCATATATTGGGTTCAGTACTACAGTATTAGTACAAATTTTCTATCTCATATACTGGATATATAATAGGTTTAGTGCTACAGTATTAGTACAAATTTTCTCTCTCATATACTGGATATATAATGGGTTCAGTGCTACAGTATTAGTATAAATTTTCTAACTCATATACTGGATATATAATGGGTTCAGTGCAACATAACTAATATAAATGTTTTAATAAAAAAATATACCTTAATTTGATCGACCGTCCTCTTTTTTTTTCGGTATATTCGCGTAACTTGTTCTTGAGCAAAAATCTGATCGGCCCGTCTCTTTTTTTCTTTTTTGTGATGATGATTAAAATTCAAATTTAAATTTCATATCTTTCCACTTTTTTGACAAAACCGTTTTTATGATTTACATTCCATAGTGAGCAAGCTTTTTTTTTTTTTTTTTTT